GTTAGTTAATGTGCATTATATAACATTCAGCCCCAGTCTAAGGGGCTTAAGTCCAGGGCTGAACTTCTTTCCTGTACACTCCTGTTTCAAAATATTAAAAAATTTGAATTAAAACCTTGAAAATTCCTCTTTGCTAGAAACACTGGTGGTTTCAACCTACCTCTGTGTGGTATGGTTTCACTTTGGCATGGCAAAGCTGGTTCGGCTTGGCAGCAGGAAAGTCTTAACAGTTTCTGTGTCTAAAGCACAGCTGAAGCCATAGGTTGTCAGTGTTACTGTAAATGTTTATAAGGGTTCAAAGCTCACTTTCTCTGCCTACCTGTAGTCACGTAAAACTAGCCTTCCTCTTGCACTGTCTCTGATTTACAGTTTATTACTTATTGATGTTGTTAAACTTCTGTAACACCAAGCCATTTACGACCAAGTGAATTCAATTAACCTACATCACATCTTACTTTTTCCTTTTCATGTTATCATTGATACAGTATTCTTGTTTATGTCAATGAAATAGTCAAGTCAACTTGCCAACTTGCTATAAAAGAGCAACTGCAACACACATGATTACATGGTTGCTTGTAAGTTAATACGCCAAATCAAAAGTAATCATTTTAAATAACTTTAAATCTTTATTAGAATTAAAATTGTAAGACTTTTCTGCTCAAAAATCAACATCAGATTCTCTCTAAACTAAAACACTATTGAATGGACGAGGGACTCTTATATGGTAGATATGATAGGGCTGAGAATATGGTGTAGTTGGTTAGAAAAGAGGTCAATACTACAGCTTTTCAGGACAACATGGAAAGGCTACATGGGTAAGCTCATGTTTTTGCCTTAGGCAAATGTAATATGTGTACATGTATTGAATTTCCACATATGAAATATATGCACATATATGTATATATAGCCTATGTATGTAAAAATGACATATAGAAGAATTTCATATATTGACATACATACACTGTTGCCCATAAAGTTGGAATAATTTTGTTTTCAGACACAATCCTCTGTTTATTCCTATTTAAATGCATCAGTTATCACTTTGGAAGAGATTGACTACTAAAGTTTTGAGAAGATATACACTTTATCTGTCAAGAATAAATCACATTGTCACAATCATTTCATGAAAAGAGATAAAAAATATTTTATTTATGAGCAACAGTGTATCTAGTTAATACAAACATGTATGTCTGTGTATGTATGCTTATATTGTAGATATAGTATGTAAATACATATCCATCCCAAAGCCTGTCAATATATGTTCATATTATATATGTAAATATAAAAAATAGACATGTATGTGTAAATTTAATAAGAAATTAATAAGAAAATCATATATAAACACATAGTATTTTGATAAGTAACATGCAAGTTAAACTTGCATTTTACTATGGGTATTTCATATATGTTATAAACTTATATTTTCATATATCCAGAGGGTGTGTATATATGTGATATTAATATATCCTCTTATATTACAGGTAACATATATGGCAACATCACTTTTGATATAGGAGTATATTACATTTCTGTACAGGTATTGTTATTAAGGATGTTTAGGTTACAGTCTGCTTTTGACAACCTTTAGACATCTTTCATTCATTCAAAGTTTGTTCTAAATTCTAAAGAGGCGACATAAATGCATTTTACAAGAGAAATCTAATCTCGTACAGATCTACTTTATACAGATTAATTTCCCTGCACTTTGAATGCCTCACTCAAAAACTGATGAAGATTGCTTTCTCATACCATAACAGAGCTTGTTTCTCCTTTAAAAACAGAAAACCAATCATACAATCCACTATCCACAGTGGATTGGGGAGATATCCTACATGCTCACTCTGCTGCCACTAGCAAGCAAAGTTTATTCATATAGCACTTTTCAGATACACTAGTCACAAAGTGCTTCACAATCAAATAAATAAAATCAAATGAAAGAATTAAAATCAAAATGCCTCAAATAAAATATACAAGAGGAAAGACAGATACAGGGCACAGGTTAAAAGCATAAAATACCAAATGCTAGCTAAATGCCTGTCTGAACAGATGGATTTTTAGTTGCTTTTCGAGTCCACAGAATCCAAGGATCTCAAACTTAGTGGAAGACTATTCCAGATCTTATGGGCTGTTGACTGGAAGGCGTGATCACCCCAGGTCTTAAAGCATGTTCATGGTATGCTAAAAAGACCCAGGTGGGTAGACGACCTAAGACCTGCACTTATGGTGCGGGGGTGTAAAAGATCTGCAATAAATTCTAGGGCCTGGGCATGTAGTGCGCTAAAAGTGAGCACTAAAATTTTAAGATGGATTCTAAAATTGCCAGTGCGGAGAGGTTAAAATTGGTGTTATATGTGACCATCTGTTTGATTGTGTTCAAAGCCTGGCAGCAGCACTTATCCTTAACCCACAGAACACTGTTCACCTCACTGCCATTCGATTCACCGCTGTGAGTTAAATGAAGTTGGATAGTTATCACGGATGTGAATATTTAACACGGAGTTCAAAGTGGACACACATGATAGCAGATCACAGGAGAGGTTAGCCTGAAAAAATCCTCATGCCATCTCTGATCTGAGGAAACACTGGTTTCCAGTACTGTGCTCAATTGCAGTACAAACTGCAGGTAGAGACACTCTTCATCTTCCTCTGAGGGACATTAAAGTTGTATTGATATTTTTGATGATATTTGTGAATGTTGTGTCAATGTCAGTTTGTCTGTGTGAGTGTGTGATGACTGATTTGTGAGACTGAATTGTCTTGTTGTAATGTCGGTTTGTTTTTTGTTTGTTTAAAAAAAAAAAAAAAGGAATGTAAAAAGAAAGGTCTTGATCTGAATGAGATCTGAATAAGTAAAGCATAACTACTATCTAACCAATCATTAAATCTACAAAAAGAGATACTATAAAAATGGATGCAGTCAGCCACTTCTACACGTATGGTACTTTACATGAGGAAATAAGAACTTATAGAATGAGAGATGAGTAATTAACTGTAGATCAGTGGGTGAGTTACTGTTCATAAGCTTACTTCCTCTTAGAAAGAGAAAATGTTCCTCTTGAATTGGCATGATGTGGTTAGTAGAAGGGGAAGGGTCGCATGAAGAGAAGGGCTTCCCTCATTTTCATAACCTCCTCCCCCGTATTCCCTTCATACAGTAATGTTAAATTTCCCATGTGACGTGCAGAACTCACTCTCAGTCTATTTTCAGTCTCATTCACATTTGTGGTTTCTGGCACAACTTTTAGTTTTGTTATGTATTTCCTTCCTATTTCGATGTATCCTCAATAAACAGTATCTACTCTATTCTGAAAATCAGTTCTCTTACTCAATTTAAAGTAAATGAAATATCATGTGAATCGTGTGTCTATGACTAAGGTGTCTCTGAGCCATTTAGATATTTTCATATAGAGCTAATCAAAGGCCTATACCCTAATTTTAAAAAGCTTAAAAGGCACCAACTGCAATATTTAATTTTTTCACATAATACACATCTATATATATATTTTTTTTAACATATAGAATAAGCTGTAGACTGTGATAACATCAGAGGTCATGGCAGGTCTAAAGAGATGCAGCACACATGAGATAAACAAGTTATTGCTGTTTATCACCTGTCTAACACTGCACCAAGTTGTTTGCTTGAAAGCACTGACACAGCAGGAACATCTTGATGTGCAGAAGAACAAAAGACAGCTGCACAAAGTGTAGTTGTGACAACAACACATTTCTGACCTGGCTCATGCAGTTGACCTGGTATAAACACCCCAGGCTTTCTATTTAGTTTGGATCACTTCTAGAAAAGAAAGGGTACGTGTGCTTTAGAGGGGGACACTGCTGACCAAGACCTCAGTCTGCTATACAGCATCACAGTGGGGAAGTTAAAATGTGTTAGTTCTCTATTACATGTTGAGACATTATCCATACACTTGGCTTTTTCTTCATTATCTATGTTTTTCTGAATACCAAGTGTTATGCTTTTCTTTCTTTCTTTTTCTTTTTCTTTCTTTCTTTCTTTCTCTCTTTCTTTCTTTCTTTCTTTCTTTCTTTCTATCTTTTTTTGTCACTTTCATCTCTAAGATTTAGTTTATTTTAAAGATAAAATGCCTGCTACATAGTAATTTACATAAGGGCCCTAAGGCTCTGTAAGTTCTCTTAAAGTACTGGATATTACTGGATAATAATATCCAAAAGTGGAAGAGTTGAATAAGAACTATAACATTCCAGTTAGGGGAAACCACCAGGGGCGGTCAACTTGAAAAACTGGCATTTACCTGTCAAATGAAAGAGAGATCACAAGTTGTACAGAGGCGAGGGACTCTCCTCTCTAAAGCTCAGGGTCGCCATTTATTGTAAGAGCCCATCAAAGTAAGGTTGATAGTTTTGGACTCTGAAGAAAACTAATTCTGTCAAGACATTACAATAAGTGAGATAAAATGTTCATTGAGAAATTACAGCCAACTATGAGTAAAGAGAACGTATTTTTCTAACCTGTATAGTACGTGACGAGTCATCGTTCAAAGGCAGGTTTCCGTTTCTGCAAAAATGTCTGACCAAAACGTTTTTTAAATGTGTAGGCCTACATAACTCTAAATTGTCATTATTGTAAATAGGAAGTCGTCATCACTAACCATACAATTAAATAAAGCCAAAAATTGATATTTAGAGCTAGCTCTATTTCCCACATGAGCCTTGATTATCCTCCATCATTATTCCCACATGACCTCCTGTTTACATATAAGTCTGTGAAAGGTGCTTTTGAAAGAGTGAGCTAGGCAGAGATAAACATTGCACAAGAACATCTGAGGACAGCTGCACAATCACAAAAGAAAAGACAGCCTTAAAAAAATCCTTTCATTGGGTCACCACCTGCTGGGACAGAGGCTAATATGTTTAGACAGCTTGATATTTGAAATCTAGGGGGCTATCATCCTGTGTCTTCTTATGCAATTGTTATTGACTGCACCGGTCTGTAGCCCTATAAAAGCAGCGGTAACTTCACTGAAAGTTAGATGCGCTTAGGCTTGTTTTTTGCCATCTCGAAGGTGATTTTTTGACTTCCTCTGAACCGGAAAAATGTACGCAGCTGTTACGCTCTTCGTCTTCATGTGCTTGACTGCTACCACCCATGCAGAGCACCATCAGCCTTGTCGTAAGAATTTGTATTTCCATCATTTTGGTTCCTTTTTCTTACTTGATTTTGAGTAGACCATGTGTTAGGTAGCTTTCAAGATAATTAGATTTCCCATTTCAGTCAATAGTAAACAAAACTCTATAGTTTTCATATCTTAAAATGTGTCAGATGTACCCTCGACCAACTGACTGTTGTCTTTCAGATTCACCCAATATGACAGGATTCATGACTGTGGTAATTTTTTTCATTTTCATTTTTTCTGGCCCTTTTATAGAACCTGGACAGGAACTGGAAATATGGCATTAACCCCTCTCTTTCTCTCTTAACATATATTGTTGGATGACACCAGATCTCCCAAAAAGCCGGGGTGAAGGCATTTGGTGCATTCACTTACGATTCAATGGGCAAAAAACTACGGTTCAGATCAAACGAGAGCCACCCCATAAACACCTCTGTAGGTTTGGATCTATTGATGTTTTTTGAAGAGGTAAGTGATTTATTGCTTTTAATAAAGGTCACAGATCACTTGAAACTATTTTGCACCTTGACTTTTGATCCCGTGTCTACATCTGGCAGGGAATATTCTACGAGATCGACAGCAAAAACCAGAGCTGCGAGAAAAAAGCCTTGCAATGCACGATGCATCCTCTAGATGTTCCTGATGACGCCACGTTTGTTTCTACACTACACTCTGGGAGTTCATCCATTGAAGGGGAGGGACTGAAAGTCAATGCATGGTCAGGATCAATGCCAGACTCGAAAGGTGGGAGAGACACTGTAAAATATTACATGTGCCTTATTTGTGACAGAGTTGTTACGTGTGCCATCATGACTTGAATGTTTTCTGTCTTTCTCTTTTTCAGGCTACTATTCCATGTTTGTCACCATGGGATGTTTGCCTGTGACCACATTGTACTTCAGTGAGTCCACACCATTCTTATTCAGGTTGGTGTTTTAGAAAAACAAAAACTTGCGAACTAACATTGCAGGGATTATGCAACTGCCTATTGGCTGCAGAACTTATAATGAATATCTGTATCATTTCTGTATCACTTTCTCACAGCAACACGGACATTGAACTCGAGATCAAGGATCCTGATCTCCTCGTGGTGCCTTCCTTTTGCCTGGGACAGCCTCTGGAGGAGACAGCTGAAGGGACAGTAAACAGTTTCCTCAATGAGTTCATGTAGGTGAATCCTCACCAGCAGAAAAATCAAACCCCTATCCAAGTGTGGCCTGCCAGAACTTTAGACTGTTCTCTCCTTTCACGTGTTTTCATGTGACACTGCACTGCATCACATCTGTCTCCATCACAACTTCCACTCCCCTATGAAGATATGGCTTTGAATGGATCATACTGTATACATACATTCTGATGTAAAGGAAAGAGATTTGACATGGATTATAGAAGTAGTCATAATTACTAACAGTTGGTGGCTTTTCAAGTTGGTACTGCTTACAAAACCTGTAAGAAATGATTAATGGAACAATAAAATGTCAAAGCTGTCAAAGGTCTAAAGAGCAGTGTTTTCTTCCAATATTATTTCTTTGTAAAGTGTTTCATTTTAGCCTGACATTGTACAACTTTTGGACAAGGAAGTTTTGCAGCAAGAAACCATTTCAGAACTGTACGGCAACATCAGCCCACTAGTGGGACAAAAATGAGCTGCTGTGCCCCAATTGATCCCCAAGCTCTTTTTGTTCTACAGTGTGTGCATTGTGACCTTTCACCCCAAAATACCTGATTAACAATGATTTGATCCAGCAACACAGTATAGCACGGTATAGCAAATAGTTTTTGGTAATTTGATAGGAACATGCAAGTCATAAACACAATACACAAAATTTTAAGAACTTCCTGTCTCCAACAGAGTCTAATAACAATGATTAAATCAGTGTCAATCTTTGCCAATATCAGTATATCTGAATCAGGATCAGTGTGATTATTATTACAGATACCAACACTGCCATCAGTATTGGCGATAGCTCTACTAACCCCAAGTTCTATTCGAGTTTTCTGGTCTGGAGGTCAATCTATGTAGTGTAGCAAGGAATGATAGAGCACTGAAAACCGAAATGCAGCAATAAATAAATGAAAAATAAGAAATGATCATGGAATTACCATGTTCAATTTTAAGTGACAATAAAAACATTTAAGTTTTTTTTCTGGTCTTTGGAGCTATACCAACAGTAACATTATTAGTAACACTATTTATAAATATACTCTTGATGAACTGATAGGAACTCCTGTACCATATAATTCATTCTGTTACAACAGCCCTGAAATAAATATCATTTACAGTAGTGAATGGTTGGATTCCCTCCATTTACATATGTGATAGAGGAAAGCATATGTAGTTATTTAAATGAACACACTGTACACAGTCATGTTTCGTCCAGTCAAAAGAAGTTGCTCGGCAAAAAATGTCACAAAAAGGGAGATAAACATTAATAAACATTAAAAGTTAAAAAAGACAGGAGTTTCTTGCATTTTTTTTTCAGTGAAAATTAGTAAAGATTTCTACGCCATTTGTGCTGAACAAACCAAAAATACAATTTTTGCATGCAGGATTTTTTAAAAAGTTTTTCAGGTCAATGCAGACCATGTGTCTCTCATGTTTGAACGTTTACCCACATTATAAAACCTAAGACTTGAAGATAAAAAGAAAAAAGGTAAAAGGTAAAATAAGTATCTTATATTGGTGGCAGTTGTTTACATCCATTAGACTGAACAGGTTAAAACGGGACCTGGAGCTCTTTGTGATTCAGTTCAGTCATGAATTTGGTGATGGTGTGGAAAGTGTATTCATTCCTCTTCTTTTACATTGTCACAATGCAGTGTGCCTTGAAACAGTAGTTGAGAGTCTAATTAGATAAGAGTGTAACATTTTGCAAATTAATGTACAAGAGCAATGTCCAGATGTTTTTTATGTAATCAGTCTATAAACCTAACAAGTCACCACCTGCCATAGGTGTCATTTACATGGGGAAGCTTGAGTCCTCACCACCTTTTTAAATGGCTGATTGTAAAATCAAAATTTGTTTAAAATGTTTTTTAACATTTAGGTTTGTTGTTTCTATTTTGAAATATTATTTAGGAAAATGATAGTGGTTATTGTTTTGGCTGACTGACATGCACTGGTGCTTTCTACAGTAGACGTGATATTGGTGTTTTTTCAATTTATGCAATTTTTCCCCATCGTAATAATCAACTCTGACATCATACCATACACCCATTACATTGTCTAAAATCATATGTTGAAGACTGTTTAAAAGATGTTTTTTTCATCTGAGCCTTTATGTCCCCCTCACTTTTCAACACAAAGTGACGTCCTTGCCACTGGCTCACTGAACAGATGAGCAACACTTAGGGAAAGTCAGGTTATTAGGTGGGACAATTTCAATTATCACTTCAAGATAATGATTTTTTCTTGAGTGTGTGAGAACGTCTCTTCAAGTTAGGCCATAGGTCTCCATCTCATCCATACTAATTTATTATCGTCTGTGAATTTAACATTTTTATGTAGGCTATGTGCAATATACAAATGTGATTTAGGAAGATACATTACCTCTGCACTCACACGGACATACAGATGAATTTCAGTTGTCAACATAAGTGTCGGTCAAGGAGTGATCATTCAGGAGTAAAGTGAGGGGCTTGAGAGCAGTAATGGGCAGGATATGGCCCCTCTTACCAGCAGTTCACGGTGCCACCGACAGGTGGTGTGTGTGCTGCATTCATAACAACGAAAATACAAACTGTACCTTGCTATGTTAGCCACCAAGGAGCTTCCTAACGTTAGCTAGCAAATAAAATCATTATTTTTGAGATTTGGAAAATTACAGTTCGTGCAGGAAATTAAAGGAAGCATCCTTTTTGCAAAGTCCGCAACGTTTGGATTATTTGGTTTTAGACCATCTTTGATTTAAAACGAGGTAAGTTGTAAAATGGCGGATAGCTAATGTTAACATTCAGGGAGTTTGTCATTGATGCTGCTATACTAGCTAGCTGGCCACACACTTGACATAAACGTTAACAGGAGTCATTATCATAGAAACGCAACTTTATCAGAATAAATTAAAAATAACGTGATTAATAGGTGTGACCTAAGCCTCCAGCTTGTGTTAAGTAGTGGTCTCTTTAGCCAGCTTCAGCCAACGATAGTGCTAATCAACATAGCAACTAATCTGAGGCTGTAAATGTATCAGAATCCTACAGTGGATCCAAGTCTTGACTTTCGTAGTTCGGTACGAATAAAGTAGTCAAGAATATGTTATACAGGTAGCTAGATAATGTCTCGGCTAGCACCGCATATCAGTAAGATTAGCTCGCATTAGCCTGAGAGCTGCTTGGCCATAGTAGCAGATACTGCACGTCACGAAGAGATGAGAGTGGATTGGAATCACCAGGCTAGGAAACATCTGTGGTGGTGTTTGTAGTTCGGAAGTATACAACTGCGCGTGTCAGACTCGTTTTAGGATCGACTTGTTCTAGATTAAAAGTCATGTTTAAGTCAAATCACCACGATCTGTCATAAATACATGAGAATTCTACATTATTTGTCCAAGAAAGTATCTAATGTAATACCGCGTGCGTGTGTGCGTTCCTATTAATGGTCTTAGGAATTATAAGTTCAGAGCAAGACCAACCATGTCATGTTTACAGAACATGCTGAAGTTAGAGATTTTCCCGTTTTATTTGTGTCAGTCAGCAAGAACCCAGTGGTAGAGCTAGTCTAGTGTTAGTCGCTCCGCACAGATGTCATACTGCTCTGTCACGTAACCATCTGGCGAATGGCAAAGTGTGTAGCCATTAGAAAACGACCAGCCTGTCCTGCTCAGTGCAATTTGAGTTCAGCTTTTGGTAAAGAGGTCAATACAAGTATAATAGTAGGGGAGGATTAAGACACATCACCTGCCTGCAAGTGTGGCTACCAAGTGTAACACTACACAATATCACGATCCTGATATCCCCCATTCTTTATGTAGCAAGTCCCTAAATGAAAGGAAGACAAGAAAGTGTGATTTTAAAAAAAGTCATTAAAGGAATTTTCACTGTCCAGCTGCAAAAACTCCCACAGTGCCCTCATATAAAATGTGGTTGATTAAAAAATTTCAGTGCCATTGTACAGAGCCTGTACGGTTATTTCTATGAACTGTCTCCTTTGTACTCCAAACCTGGTGATGGAGCTTCATTTAAGGCTCCCTGCACCTTCTGTGTTGTGATGGATTGGACTGGTGCAGGGCCTATTTCCAAACACTGACTTCACCACTTACTGGTGCTTTCCAAAGTTGCTCTACCTGATTCCCATCATTTCTTACCAGAGTCCAAACTGATGTCTTCAGATTGTTTATTTTATCTGAACAGCATTCAATAAACTCAGACTGTTTATGAAATTAAGTAAAACATGCAAATCTTCATATATGTGATGCATTAACTAGGAAATGTTTTGGATTTTTATTTGATGAATGACAAACGGTTATTCAGCTGTCAAAAACAACATTAGTCATCACAATGTTCATCATCTAATTGATTAATCTAATTACCTAAGCACTAGGTAGTAATACACCATAGAGAACTAAAATGTTGTGATTGAGAGAATGACAAAAACGATAATACCATGTTATCTGTAACTCCAGCTGTGCAGTTCGGGAGCTCACAATTGTCTGCACAGTTAGAGACAGGAGCAGGATCTGTGAGTTCACAGTGTGCCAAATGAATGGAGAGTGGAAGTGAGTAAGTGCAGTGACAGGAAAGCATCTCCATTAAAGCCTGGTTGTTGAGAAGAGCTCTGAACAAGATGTGAGAATGAAGCAGGGCTCCATTCAGTGATTCCTATTTTCTTCTTCGGTTATTTAGATGAGGTAAATCAATTACTTGTTTTGTCTGAGGAATGTCAGAAAATATTGAAAAATATCTCACACTTTCCCAGACCCCAGGGAGGCATCTTCAGAAAAAAGCAGTAAATCTTTAGACATTTTAGAAACTGGTAACAGCAAATGTGTAGTATTTTTGATGCATAATGGACTTAAACAAGAACTTAATTATCAAAATTATCTATGATTAATTTTCTGTGCCTAGACCTTTTTCACAACAGACATTTTGGCATAGTCGGCACAGTTTTACTATTAACATAAAAAAATGGCTTTGTTCTGTTCAAGTGTTCCAATAAGCTGTGACAGCGTAACAGAGCCAACATGGATAATACCAGGACTGGTATTGTCACCAATCATTCAGTTAATTATGTAAATATTTAAGCTATGAAATGCACCCATTGTGTGTGTTCGGCCTTAAGAATAAATGCACATTACAGTTGTGGTTAAGTTATGATATGTGTGAAAATGTGGAGAGCTCATGGGCCAAATTTCACTATCTACTGTATAAATAAGGGGGAAATTAGTCATTTACACAAGCATTATTTTATTTGCAGTTTCCATGCAACTACTGGAAATCACCACCTAGCTGTTACAAAGATTGTTCAGGGATTTCTTGTGTTCCCAGGTACATGAC